ATGCCAGAAAATTATTGTTTGTTAAATTGCATTTACACATGAGATTCTCTGGACCATAGGCCTACAGACATAAAAGAAATTAAGGCCACCTTACCAATCTTTCAAAGGTCATTAGTAAAAAAGTTCTTTCCTTTCCTGTCTTTGTCTCTTCTAGATGTGAAATTATCCTTAAGTAGGTGAATGATAGGATGGAAAGTGTTAGAAATCAGTAAAACAAGCATGTTCCAGGAAGCAGAAAATACATTCTTATAGTGTTTTCTTATTTAAATATTTATAGGTTAGAGGTTTCGATACAGATTTAAATTTGAGGTAAAGAAAATGTATTTGATTGATAAGATGTTAAAATATAGGTTCTCATTCAAGTCATTTTCTTTGATGAGTTCAATGGTAAGTAGCAACATTCCATGCACAAAACTGGTAGGTTGGAATAGTTCGGGGCTCAGTTTAAAGACCTTTTTGGTTTAGCAGACTAGTCTGTGGTTTTATTCATAGAGCTTTCCCAGTTTATATTTCCTTCCCTCTTGCTATCCATTAAAAAAATGTGTGCACAGAAATGACTATGGCCACACTTTTAATGTGTCAAAAATAGGAGAACCCCAAACTTACCTGCTCCCATGTTATCTGGATGTATTTGGAAATAAGTGTTAAACCCAAATAGTTGCTTGCTAAACACAAACGCCTACCCTCATGGAAGATAAAGACAAATTCTCTTTGATTTAAATGAAGCAGAATCACTCTAGAGCAGTGGTTCTCTTTAGACTCAAGCCACCCCTTGGAAAATGCCAGCTCTTAACTTTTCACTCATTTTTTGAATACAGAAAAATAATAATGCAATTCTTCTGTTGCAAAGAGCTCAGAAAGACCACACCAGGTCAGAATGGTTTTAACACTATGAAATTTTATTTGAAATCCCTGGTCGTGTCCACATGTGCATGGACATTTGGTTCCCTGGAGATGACTAGCAGCAGCGCACTTTGTGCCGCTGCTAGTTGTCATTGGGGAGCGCCCATGCCATGTGTCCTCCAGTGTGCAGCAAGTTACCCCATGTCAGGCTGGGGCCAGCCTTACCTGGGGGCCTCCCAGGGCTGCAGTAGTGGTGATTTTTGCCATGCAGAGCCTGGCTGACAACTGCAGTGTGGCTCTACTTTTGAGTGGTGCATGGTGCCCATGCATGCACTGATCTGCTTTTTTTTCTCTGCAGGTTTTTTGGACCCCTGGATATCCAGGAGTAAAAAAAAAACCCCTCTGTGCTGCTCCCTTTCAGTGTGGAGAACAACTGAATGTGTGGTATGTGGTGCGGCAGATATATCTGGTCCCCATACCTCACAGCCACACTTGTCTGGATGCTGTCCCTCTGTTTGTCTTATGGATCATGTTTACACACCTGACAGTGTTAACATTGTGTGGTACCCTGCAACACCCTTGAAATAAACTCAGCACCCGGGTGGGGAATCATTGCTCTAGAACTGGGGTGGCCAATAGGGTGGTGCGAAGCTTCGGTCCCTGATTAGATGTGGTGGAGATTTGGCCCAATTTGGTGGCTGAAACTCTGAATCCAAATAGAATTGGAGGACCCTTTAATCTCTTTGAGTCGAATCGGAAGCCTCCGAATCAATTCGGAAAGATTTGGCGATTCAGACATAGACACATTTTGAAATATTTTTTCTACATACCTCTAGATAGCAGGCAGCTCATAAGGGCTGTGATGCTGAGTTGGATGGAATGTCCCACAGGAGCGTGGGGAGGCTCCCCAGTACTCTTGGGAGCAGACCCGGAAGTGGACCAGAAGCACTTCCAGTTCACTTTTGGTCCACTTCCGGATCTGCTGGGAGAGTGTGTGTGTGGGGGGCGGCCCTGCAGGCCCCTGGCTCAGAGACTGGTGCCTCCTGGGTCTGGGGGCCCCCCACAGCCGATTTCCCAAGCTGGGAGGGCATGCCCCCCCCGCATGTTCCCCTGCAGACCCGGAAGTGGACCAGAAGTACTTCTGGTCCACTTCCAGGTTTGCCACTGAGCATGCAGGGAGGTCTCCTGTGGGATGCCCCATCCGCCCCAGCATCACAGCGTTCGCAAGCTGCGCCCGGTACCTTGAGGTACGTAGAAAAAACATTTAAAGATGTGTCTATGTCCGAATTGCCGATTCTCTGAATTGGCATTGAATCTTCAGGTCTGGATTCGGTGGAATTGAATTGGGGACAGTGATCCGAATCAACGAATTGAATCACTGTCCCCGATTCAGGCTGAATCTGAATCAAATAGGACCCATTTTGCACACCCCTAGTGGCCAACTTGTGGCATGTGTGCTATGGGCAGCATCTGTGTGGCAAGCAACAGATCAGAGAGGGGATGCAGGAGAAAGAAAAGTGGCAGATTGGGCAAGGAGCACAGGGAAGGAACATGAAAGCAGAACAACAGATTGGGCAGGGGAAGAGGATCAGAGTGGCTCTTGGAGAGGGTTCAAGGCTAATTTGTGGCCTGCCTGCCGAAAATGTTGGCCCCCGTTGCTCTGAGTACCAATCTTTCTGTTTTTAAGAACGATTAAAGTAACCTAGCTTGGCTTCTGTAGATATGTGTGCGCGCGCGCGCGCGCACACACACACACACACACACACACACACACACACACACACACACACACACACACACATACGTTTTACTTCATGGTGCTGGCTGCAAAAAGCATTATGTGAGAGGACCTGACCTGTTCTGAAACCTTGATTTGAATTGCTCTTACATGGTTTGAAAAATGGTACCTGAAGCAAACACGCCTTTAGGCTTTTCCATGGCTTCCTTGAGAAAATTCCCATAATATTATACAAACCTCATAAAGAACTTTCTCGGTGAAGATACATTTCAAAACCTTGACTGTTCTAGCACCTGTCATCCCTGTTATATTAGGCTCACTGAAGCTGACAGCACAACATTTTATATCCTCTGGAAATTAGACAGATGGAATCAGTCGTCTAAGGGACACTAAGTTATCTGCATAGGCATAAAAGGTATTGCATCAAAACTAAAGAAAGAGGAGCAGCTCAGAGTCTTGACTTGAAGAAAATGTATTTTTCCACTGGTTTGTTAATAACATGCTTTTAAAAGATTTTTTTTAAATCTAGTTTTATAACTTACATAGAACTGATTTTATAACTTATGAATCATGTTTGGAAAGAAAGGGCTTTTGCAAGAAGAAAAAATTAAGGAACCAACCATTTATATTAAAAACTATAAATATCTGTTATGTTGTCTTTGCCTTTTTTGCCTTGTGAACATGAAATTTCTCCCCCACAACACAACTTCTGCTTGAAATGCAACTTTTTGATTTTGTGATATCACAATTTATTGTTATAACCCAAGGCCACAAATTCATTGCTTTGACTTCATTGTAGGGATTGCGTGGTTGAATGTCATACCTGAAGCATGGTTGGTAAAGAAACTGACAAGGTGAATATATGAAGTACATTATTATGAAATGCTAGCGTCATACGTGAAAGTTCCTCCTTAGAAGCTATTCTGTTCGGCTTCAATTTTCTATTCTTTTCAGGACCTTCTTTAATTACTGAGATATTTAGATGCAATATCAATAAAACCCAGACTGATTTAATGTGATAGTACTTAAAATATATAGAATTTAGAGGTCCACATCAAGGAGTTCTGTTTCCCAATGTTTACCAACCATAGCCAAAACAGCGATACCAGCCTGAATCCATAGAGAACATGAAGCAGTGGTTCAGAGAGATAAGTATTTCCATCTTTATCTTTAAGGGTGCTTAGTGGTTGTCCCTCTTTTTCCTTAACAAAACTGTTTTATTCCGTTTCCAAACTTGTTTTGAACAGTATGAGTGGAGTAAGAAGGCACAATATGTATAAACGAATAACAGTACATTGCTGTATGTGTGGCTGAATTTCAACTACCAGTTTGAAGTGATGTCTGTCTGTCTGTCTCTGGCAATTTGGGGAAAGGATTTCCCTTGCATCCTGTCTTGTTTTCCATTTTGAAATCAGTGCAGGGTAAGATTAAGGGACAGACAGTAAACCATATCCCAGAGGTATGCTGCCACTTGCAGCCCAGCTGGCTGCCACCACTGCTGCTACTCAAGCCACCTGCTGCTGCCCCAGCCCTCTAAGGGCTGCTATTTCACTTCTGTGCACCTCCCCCTGCCCCCGCTACTGAAACCATTGCTGCTGCTGACTCCTCACCGCTGAAACCTGTTGGTACCAACTCCCACCAGCGACAAAACCAGAGAGAAAGGATGGCTTGGGCAGCAGCCAGCATTGCAGAAAATCTGTTTAGAGCCTAAGGTCTGCTACTGCACTGCTCCTCCCTGTTGTAGAATTACCACTGATGCCCCAGTTCCGCAGGCCATATGCAAATACTTGGTGGGCCAGACCTCTAAACCTGTGCCTGAGGCCTTAGCTTTTGGAGTTCCATGATAATGACAGAATTTCAGCTTTCATTTGAAAAAGCTCCCCAAAATAAGTTACACAACTCTAGCTCTTGTGGCTGCAAAATAATCCTCTCCATACTTACCACTGTCGTATGTAACACCCTGCCCCCCTCCCGGAAAAAAGAGGGCCTGACCGTAAGTAAAACACTTACATCAGCTTGAATCCACAGACAACCTGAAGCAATGGCTCAAAGAGGCAAATGCTTCTCCTTTTATCTTTATTGGTTGTTAACTCTGAAACTTGCTGTTCTCAGGATATTCTATTCACGGCCCCTAGCCCAAGCAGTTGGGGGATACTGCCACACCACCACCATAAACCCGTCTTGCAGTGGCACAACAGGGAGGTGACTTGATGCTGTCTTTTTTGGGGATTCAGAAGCAGCTGCTGCTGCAGCGTTAGGTGGCTGCACCATCACATTTGGCATGGTAGCAGCTGGTGCTGCCCTGTGTTGCAGTCGTCTGGGTGCAGAGCTGGCTTGCTACACCTTTGCCTTCTTGTCTGTGTCAAAAGGGCCCGCTGAAAGAAGAATCTCTTGCTTGAGCTTACTATTTGCTATGCAGGTGAGTGGTGAGGTCTTCCAACCTTTGGATTGATCACCACTGCAGGCTGGAAGGAGGAAGCACAGCTTTTCCCAGAGAAGGGTGGCGATCTTTCACAGCACAATGGACATTTCTTTTGTGAGTAGTCTATCTCTACCACCTAAGAAGAGATTCGTTGCTTAGGGTCACGTGGGTGTCACCTGTGTCCTGGCTATGCCTAAACACAGTCTTTGTATACATATTTGTATTTGTATTTTAAATTGTAAGCCTTGGAATACATACGAGAATAAGTGTAATAAGGAACTAGTAGTAAAGATGCAATTTAAATGTACTGTATTGTCTCTGTTTCTGGCTGGTTTCTTGTTTTAGTGTTTAATATTTATTTTACATTTGTTAAACCAGGTAGTAATTATGTTAGCAATTTGTACCATTGCCAACAGGTTTTGTTATGCCTGGTCAGTCAGTGGTGCATGGGGTGTTTAGCAGTTCTTTGCAAGTCAGAGTTTTGGAGTATGAAGGATTCTTAGATGCATTGCATTTTCAGTAACTGGAACCTATTGATCTTCCTTTTTAAGGTGTGCTAAACATGAATCCTTCTAGCTGACTGGGTGCAGCCTAGCTCCACCTGCTTTTGCATTCACCTTCTCTTCGCTGGCCTCAGTAATGCAGCATCATGGTCTGTCCCCAAATAGCCTGATTTCACAGGAAAAGGTAAGTTGGAGTTTCTTTCCTCCTGACTTCTGCTAGAAGTACTAGGGAAGACTTTGTTGGACTTGCCAGCAGGTCTTCAAGTAAATAAGAATGACCTGCTAGTGCATACCCCCAGCCTTCGAGTCCATGTGAGCAAAGCTGATGACTGCAGTAAAGTATCAGTGTGAAGGAGCATATGAGACAGGCCCAGAGGCAATGCCTTTACAGCTGTCTGCAAGCAGTGTATTGTACAAGTTAAAGCACTATATTGGAACTTGAGCGATCTTTTACTCCTGGCCCTTACATAAACTGCCCTATGTGAACTTGCTCAAGTCCTTGATTTCTCAGCCTTAGTAGCCTGTCTGAAATGAGTATAATACCCTGGGAGGCAGGGAAATATTATGAGGATTAATTCAAGTATGTGAGGAGCTTGGATACTGCCATGATGAGTACCATAAAACAGCCTATAAGCAATGCACACTTGGTCCTTAAACAGCAGTCCTGTTATCCAGCTCGTCTAGTCTGCCTTATTTTCATCTCCCTCTGCCCCTTTGAATGTGCGTTTGCATTAGGCCAATAGTCCTTTGCTGTGGTGACTAGTCCCAGATTGTTGGTACTTACCTTCTCATCACCTCTTCAGGTTCTTTACAGATGTTGCTCAGTTGAGCAATGGAACCAGGTCTGTGGGCTTTCTTGGGGAACTTCTTTTTCGTTCGCTAGTGGAAGCCTCACTCTGGCCTTGATGTAGGAAAGCATCCCAGTTTATGAAGACTGTTAAGTACCTGCTCATGTTCCACTGAGAGGGTCTTTACCTTGGTCCATAAAGCTTAAGCAGCTGCTTAAAGGCATATTGTCTTTGTCTCAGACGGGCGGAGCCGACTCGAGTTGATTTTCGAAATTACTCGTTCGCTGGGCGGGCTGGTGAATGGAGAGGCAGACAAAGCTTAATGGTTGCAAAAACTTTACTTACGCTGCTTGTAGCCGCGATGCAGACGGTCCGGTCGTTTGAACAACTATGTGAGTTGTTCCAGCTGGCAAGGCTCAAGCCAGTCAATCCGTCCACAAATTAAGCCGGTGGCGAAAGGGTACGTCGAGGATTGCGCTCGGCGACAGGGAGAAGAATCGATAGGTGATCAGTCTATCGATCAGCTCAGCCGCAAGTCAGATCTCTTTAGAGGCACTCTGCAGCGTGCTCAAAGTTCTCCGACTTGTGCGGAAGTCGCACGAAATTTTAAATGGCTAGCAAGCCAATTACTAGCTGCCACGTAGGAATAATTTAGAACTGGCCAATAGCGGGACACAAATTTGCATTCAAATGGCGGGAACTCTCTTGCGCCGGGGTTTTTCTGTTGCAACAAAAACCCTTTGCTGTGCAAGAGGCTCTCATGTGGCGGGAAAATTCCATCGTGCTGAGGCACCAAAATCACTGGGTTGTGACAGTCTTGAATTAAGAATGGACTTTAAACACTAACTAAGTTCTTTCCTGAGCTTGGTTCTCTGGTTCTGTTCTTTTCTTTTGGATAGTTACATCACTAAAAGAGTTAGTGAGCTGGGCACTCCCTCAATTAAGAAGCATCAAATGTTCCGATAAGATTGGTACTGCTCATGTCTACTTTGTACACGTTCAGAAGACAGTTCCACTGATTTTGAACTAGCATGTTGTCTCATCTTAAAAACTCACTCTTTTCAGGGGACCTTATTGTACTAGAATTCTTATTAATCTCTGCACAGCCTCCCTTCCTAGAACTATTTTCCCATGTTTTGTTTTGGATGGTTGGATCCCATTCCATGTACTATGGAGCACCTTAAAACTTTAATTGACTGTAACGAAAGCAGATAATATTCATGATTTTATAATATCAGGTCCTTTGGAAACAAGACCAGCAGGCAGGCAGCAGTGGGGGAGCTTGTCTCCACGCTGCTCCTACCAGGGGTAGGGGGCTGCCAACCTGCAGATTTGGGTCTCTGGCTCCAGAGCCCTAGCAGCTGGGAGACCCCTCTGGCAGGGCTGGGGGAGCAGGAGCTGAAAATGAGGGGTGACGGGCACCAGCAGTGCTGGGTGGGCTGTGGGGGGGCCTTTCATTTTAATCACAGATTTTCGGGTTTTTGTCAGAGATTTTGAAGTTTTTTGTCAGGGAAACCCAGAATCCCTGATGATTAGGCTACTTACTGCACAGTTAGCATCTCATGTAGATTGTCTCAAGTCTAAAATGAGCACCAGAAATTACAATAATTCTGCCCTTTGGTTTCTTCCTGTATACCAGGGACGGTAGAGTTGGAGTTGCAGACTTACTTTTCTTGATCTGAAACCACTGGCATAGTACCCTAATTTTACCTGTAATATGTATGATGGAAACAGGGATGGGGCAAGAATGACAGCTTTTTCAGCTATATGATGTCTCTTTAGTCATATAACTTTGTGTGTCATAGAGTTTGATGGCAAACAGTCAAAAACAAAATTGTAGGAAATCTTTGTAAAATAGATTTTAATATCTATTAAACATCTGTGTAAAAATAGTGTCAGAAGAGTTAAAAATATGAAGACTTCTGATGCAGGCAAAGACAGTATTACTAGCTAATTAAAATATTAACTTACTTCAATTTTGTCACTGCCTAAGGAGGTCTGGGCTATGTATGACAGAATAAAACAAAGCACAGCAGCGTAATAAATTATCCAAACTCTTTAAATACCTATGGACAGGTTCAGTTTAAAAAAAAATGTAAATGGAGGGTAATGTTTGAAGGAGCAGCAGATCATTTTGAACACACTAACACAGAAAGCATATGCTTTAAAGGCATTTAGTCTTTTTTAAGTGAGGTTGACTTCAAAGAAGAATAGGTCCATGTTATATAGCTCTTCATGTCATAAATGCAGTCACCTTCCAGTTTTTGATGTGATGATTGGAGTCTTAAATTGGGTTTTGTGGAGGCGCAGAAATACATTGGTGCATAATATCATCAGGTCCAAAAATACTAAGGGGTTTAAGCAATAGTTATAATCTGAAGTTGATCTGCTATTTTACAGTCAGTTTAAAGAAAGAAAGGCAGATGTAATTATTATTCAAAGTGAAAAGGAGCTGTTCTGCTGGCTGAACGACCTGGCAAAAATGGAGCAACTATCGCTAAAATGGATACCTGTTATGATGAGGTACTCCAAGGATAAAAAATGCATTTATTGGCATAGCTAATAAATGGGAAGACAAAAATTTTTACACATTTTATCCAAGGAAAATACATGATTAGGCATGAGGCCAAGATCCTGAGTGATCTTCCACTCAGAAGCAAGGCTTTTGTCTTTGTAAGGCAAACTTGATTTATACTAATAAAGTGGCCACTTTGATATGTGAACTTAGGGGCCAAATTAAGATTCTTTCAAAGTGGAGTGGTGTCTACTTTATCAAACTTCAGATCTGTTCTTTATGAATTTATAACGCCATATGTCAGTTGGCAAACCTTGCAGCTCACCAAGTAACATCACACAGGAGGTTATGCCAGGTGATCGTGGTGGTACCTTCTGACTTATGTTGATGCATTTGAAAATTATAGCCTTGGAGCTTCTGCACGCCAGCTGGTATTTGGAGTCAGTTCCTGCTTCCACTGTAGTAAGTGAAAAAATTCCTGTTTGCGTTCAGTAGTGAATCCAGCAATAAAGCCCATAATGAATCAAGATTGAATGTTCTTCAGATATAATTGCACATCTGTTAATGTTCTCACTAATTTCCTCATTTCTGTGCAGTTTCTCCCGTGAACAGCCCCAAATTCCTCTGCACCTGCATTGAAAACCCTCCTTTTGTCATGACCTAAACTAACTGAGATGACCTACACTAAAAAAGCCCTTAAGTTTATAATAGTATGCTTACATTTTCATTGGATTGCAACTTTCTTGAAAGTCTGCTGGTCTTGTTAAAGTTCTGGATGGGGTTAAGTTGAAAGAGGATTTCTTGCAATTCAAACCTCTGTTTTAGATCCAGCTAACATAATTATAGTTTTGCTACTGGCCAGTAGTACTGCTCTGGATATCATCAAAGCATTCTTGTAAGACATTTTGAACTACTCCCAGTGACCATTTCTGTGGTTGGTATATAGTAATTTCTGTGCACATATTAAAACTGTGCCTTGTCTAAAAAGTTTTGAAGATTTCATAAACACCAGGGCAGATCCACGTGGACTAGCAAGGTACCCAAAAGCTTGAGTATAAACATTGAGCAATCTGACAATACAGAATCTTGCATAGGTGTATTTCAGCTAATGATTGGAGTCCATGATCTAAAGTTATGCTGCTGTAATTTACTATACCAGCTAATAACTTCTGAGTGGGTTATGTCAAATGCTTTGATAAATTAGTGCTCACAAAGCCATTGCTTGAATTTGATTAGTGGCATTGCTAAAATAGAGGAAAAGATTACAAAGAAAGCTATAACAACAATCTACCTACAAGCAGACAAAATTAAATTCATTAGAGAATTAACTCATTCATTTTTGGGACAAATCCCTTCAGTCCTTTGATAAAACACTACTTATTTAAAGAAACTGACTTGCTTGAAAGGTTACAGCTTATACGCTGAAATGTTATTACCTATTATTTTTATTTATCATGTTTTCTGCTCCACTCAAAAAGTGCTTTTGGGTGCTTTTAGGAGCTTAGAAGCTTTTAAAAGAAATATAAATTTACATCTGTGCTTGTACATGTGTGTGTGCATGTGTGTGCACCCCCCCCCCCCCCAAGAAAGGGTATAACAAAACAGATAAGATAAGCAAAGGCCTGGCCAGACGTAACATTGGAAGCACTTCAGATGGCAAATAGAGAGATATAAGTGCTCTATGAAGTGCTCCAAAAATGGCCAAAAGCACTCCAAAAATAATCTTGAATGAAACAGCATTTTGAAACGTTTCCAGTTACGTCTGCACTCCACAGAATGTGATGACCTGTAACAGAACAGAAGTTCAGTACACTTAAACAGCTTTCAAAATGGCTGAAACTGGTTTAAGATAAACCTGGTTGGATGTACTATTAGACTTAACACTGCATGTGTTCCACAGAGAGCAACACCATGAGCATGCTGGTCTCCCTAGTTGCCGCTACTTGGTTACTTACTGCTATTTACCAGGATTTTCAAGGAAAGATTGCTTTTAATTTGTTCTGCCTTTCAGAAACAAGGCGCATGTCTTATTCTGGGCATGCTGCATGCAAGCAAATACAGTATGTTAAATATTGATTTAATATGCTTACAAGTAGTCTGACTTTTCTGAGATACCAGGCAGTGTAGCACTCATTGTCTTCATTGAGGCCTGGGTTTGGACAGCACCTCTGAATGCCAGACTATTTGTACTTAGCTGCCTAAGTATGGTTGTAGGAACCTGTAACTTAAGGTACTCAGGTTGAAAACTGTGATTTTTATTTTTTCTCTATTTGTTGAGGTACTTAGAAAAAATTTGGGTGTTCAATTACTTACTGTTATGGTAATATCACTATATAAACCACGCAAGTCAGATGTCATAATGTTTGAATGAGAGATGATGATTCATTTTAGGATTTTTTTTTATCTACAGGTACATGGTAAAAAGTACTGCCTCTGTTTTTGTGTAAAGAAGATGATGCTAGCTGATGATCAAGTGGTCCTCCCCATTCAGCAGGTACAGATGCTTTAAAATGTTTATTTGTAGAATACAGTGAAGACTGAACCAGTAACTTCATGAATTGAAGTGATGACTGTCTGAAGTTTTGCTGTTTCTGTTCCATACAGATCATAGCTTCAGTGTCAAGTAAGTACTCATTGTGCTTTATTTAAATATATTTCACTGGAACTCCTGTGTTCTCTTGTGAATATGTAGCAGAACAGCAGCCTGATTTTGACTGTCTGAGTGACATCAGCTTCGACTTTTCCCTCAGTAACACATTTGGTGCTTCATCGAAAGAATTTGGAATGTACTTGTATTACAGAAATGGTTTGTGTTGAAATACCAACATGCCAAGCTAACCACGGTTAAGTCTGCCAAACTTAACATAATCGTTACAAGTTTGACTCAGCCTTGAAGTCTGTCTGAACTGGAATGGGACTCATTCCATGGAAACAATCTTATCAAGAAGACCCAGGTGCTAAGAACCCATTCATGCAGACTAGAAAGTAGCCTTCCAGTATTGCACATTGAGAATTTTTGTCACCATTATCTGCAGGTGAATTTCAGTATTGTGTGCTCCTCCCTGTTTATCCATCCTTGATGGTTTAAAAGGAGTAATTATCATAAGTTTGCTCTTAAACTCATTAGCAGCTTGATAGTGAAATCATTTTTTTAGTAGTGAACTTCCCCTTTGTCCTGCATGATGGTTTATTATTGTAAGATCTATGCTGATTTTTGAGTTGCCTGTTGGCACTGTGATGTTCTAGGGTTTTCTTTCTGAGGACCACTGAAGAATCATTTGAAGTGTTAGAAAGAAAAAACACATATGGAAAGCACTGCAGGAAGAGGGGGCTTTTACAAGAGGAACAAAAGTAAGTTGGCAGGCTGAATTTTGAGCCTTGGTATTCTTGTAGACACGTACCAAAATGTAACCGCAGAATCCAAAAACTGCTCATCTTCACATCAGTCTGTAAGCAGACCTGATCCTAAGAGGAATGATTCTCCTCTATGGTGTTCTCCTTTTTACCCACGATTTCCCAGAAGTTCTTTTGAAGCTAGCTAATAGGTTTCCAGTTTCATTAATTTTCAGGGGGTTGGATGACAATATATTGGGAGGATGAAGAAGGCGCCGGGTAACGTGGGGCCCCTGCAGGATATGCTGGGCAATCTGGTGGTTGCGTCAGAGGATAAAGCGGACCTCTTTAACCAATTCTTCACCTCCGTTTTCTTGTGCAGGGACCGGGACTTCCCTGCTGTGATAGAAGCCGGACGCGAGGGGATCGCCTTCAGACCTCAGGTTGGGGAGGACCGGGTTAGAGAGCTTCTGGAGGGGCTGGACGCGTTCAAGTCAGCGGGTCCGGATGCTCTCCACCCCAGGGTGCTGAGGGAGCTAGCTGGGGTTATTGCAGGGCCCCTGGCACGGCTCTACGAGCGATCGTGGTGCTTGGGCCAGGTGCCAGATGATTGGAAGGTAGCTAATGTGGTCCCCATCTTCAAGAAAGGGAAAAGGGAGGACCCGGGCAACTATAGGCCCGTCAGTCTCACCTCAATCCTGGGGAAACTCTTTGAGAAGATCATCAAGGAGCACATTTGTGATGGGCCGGCATCAGAAATGATGCTCAGGGGCAATCAGCATGGATTTATTAGGGGGAGATCATGTCAGACCAACCTGATTGCCTTTTATGATCAGGTCACAAAGGCCATGGACGCAGGTGTCGCGGTGGATGTAGTCTTTCTGGACTTCAGCAAGGCCTTTGACACCGTCTCTCACCCCATCCTAATTAATAAACTAGGCGACTGTGGCATAGATGCCTACACGGTCAGATGGATTGCAGATTGGCTGAAGGGTCGCACTCAGAGGGTGGTGGTGGATGGATCATACTCGACTTGGGGGGAGGTGGGTAGTGGAGTCCCCCAGGGCTCGGTCCTGGGGCCTGCGCTGTTCAATTTCTTCATCAGCGATCTTGATGTTGGGGTGGAAAGCAACCTGTTTAAATTCGCTGATGACACCAAAATTTGGGGGGAGGTGAGCACGCTAGCAGGGAGAGAGAGATTGCAGAAGGATCTGGATAGGTTACAGGGGTGGGCAAACAGGAACAGGATGTGTTTCAATACGGACAAGTGCAGGGTGCTGCACTTGGGTAGTAGGAACCAGCAGCACACTTATACGATGGGGAACTCCCTACTTGAGAGCACGGAGGCGGAAAGGGATCTTGGTGTCATTATTGACTCCAAGATGAACATGGGCCGACAATGCGAGGTCATGGTTGGCAGGGCTAACCGGACCTTGTCGTGCATCCACAGGTGCATCTCGAGTAGAGCCAGGGAGGTGATCCTCCCCCTCTATGCGACGCTGGTCAGGCCGCAGCTGGAGTATTGTGTCCAGTTCTGTGCGCCCCATTTCAGGAGGGATGTGGACAACATGGAGAGGGTCCAGAGGAGGGCCACCCGCATGATCCGGGGACAACAGGGCAGACCCTACAGTGAGAGACTGCGGGACTTGAACCTATTCAGCCTCCACAAGAGAAGGCTGAGGGGGGACCTGGTGACCGTCTATAAACTCACTAGGGGGAACCAGAAGGGTTTGGGGGAGACGCTGTTTCCCCTAGCCCCCGCTGGCATAACAAGGAGTAATGGGCACAAGTTGATGGAGAGGAGGTACAGATTGGACATCCGAAAAAACTACTTCACAGTTAGGGCGGCTAGGAGCTGGAACCAACTTCCAAGGGAGGTGGTGCTGGCCCCTACCCTGGGGATCTTTAAGAAGAGGCTGGATACCTACCTGGCTGGACTCATTTGAGTCCCGTTTTTGTTTTTAGGGGGTTTTTTTGTTGTTCTCCCGCCCTGGCGGGGGGTCGGGCTAGAAGATCTATTAGGTCCCTTCCGACCCTAAAACTATGAAACTATGACAGCAGGCTGGACTCTACCAGCTCTTCCATTTCCTAGCTTCTTAGAGGAGATGGCAGAAGTTAATACAAGGGGCTGGATCCTGGATGAAATGGTGCTGCAACATAAGCTCAAGGGGAGTTTTGCCACTGACTTATACCAAGGATCCCTCAGATTTGTTTTGACTCTTTTATGAATGCACCTGCTGTTTCACTTCATCAGAATGAATTTTGCAGTTTCTTTTACTCTAATCCTCAGTGAAGTCTGAATTTCAGTGGTTCCCAAACTGTGGGTCCCAAGGTGAGGCACAGCAGTGGTGGCAGCACAGAGTTGTGCCCATGTTGCTGCCGGTCGAGCAGGGGGTGCTTCAGCTTGGCAGACGTAGTGGTGTGGTACAGCGCTCCCTCCCTCCTGCACCAGGTCCTGCCCACTAGGCTGTGGAGCCCCTGCGAGGAGGGCAGTAGGGTGGGTAGCTCCAGGCCTGCAGCAGGCAGCCTGCATCCTCCCACCACCATGGGCTCTGCTCTGGCAGTGCTTCCCATGGAGGAGGGGACGGGTGGGGCGAGCCAGGCTCTGCACTCTGCTCTGGCCAGAGGGGCGCTGGCAGGGTGAGGGGGATGTGGGTAGGGAGTAAGGTACACATGGGGTTGTGGGGGGCTGCAGGTTGGGAGTGAGGGGCCATGCTGAGGAAATGGGGTCATAAATGGGGTCACACTGAGGAAGCACTTGGGAAAAACTGCTGTAGCTTGTTTTCCTTGTAGTTTTCATCACACTAACAAATTTTATGTATCCTTTCACCAACGCTATTTTCAGTGGTCTGGGTATTGCTGTTTCTTATTTTGTCATGTAACATCAAGTGTACTAAGAAACATAAGAACATGGGAAGTAATCTGTTGTCATATTTAGCACTATCGCATGTAAAGATGCCATTTCCTCATCCCATCCTCTTTGGGCGCTACACAAGGGACAATCATCTGCAATTTTCTATATTCTGCAATTGTCACCAGTAATTTCTGCACAGACTACAAACAGATAGGACTCAATACATTGTACTTTTGCTTCACAAACAAAGCTCTGCTCCTATTACTCAAGGTTCAGTTGTAAATTAAAATGTTCCACTGATGTGCAGTTTAAAGATCGTTCTCAGTTCAGCATTTAGTCAATCAGCTTTGCCAACCTTAGTTTACCTGCATTTAGTTTTGATGTCAGTTCCTCATTTCTAGGTTTGCTGGCCCTTTTCCTTATAGGTGGTAAAGTTCACACTAGGAAGTCTTGAGGTTTTAGCCTATAGGAGCAGAGCTCTGTTTGTGAAGCAAACAAGCAAAAGTACAATGTATTGAGTCCTATCTGTTTGTAGTACATGCAGAAATTATTGGTGCCAATTGCTGAATATAGAAAATTGCAGATGATTGTCCTTTGTGTAGTGCCCAAAGAGGATGGGATGAGGAAATGACATCTTTTCAAATTACTCATCTGTATTAATTCAAATTGTGCAGACTTTATGAAACTTGAATGAAGTCAGATTTTGTAAATTCTGGCATTAGACATTGGTGCCATTTGTAACTTTTAAAATTCAACTGAGGCCCAAGATGGGGTAAAAGCTCTTTGGAGTTGCTAATGTAATCGGATACTGCTTCTAATAGCTAAATAAAACTAGTCACAGGCACTAACTTCTTGCCAGGACCAACATGTTAAATCAAATTTGGAATTGCTAATCCAAGCCATTTTTGAGTTATGACAAGCCAAAACTCACACAATCTCTTGAAAAACTTTGATATCTCACAAACACTTTTTCTGATTTGCTTCAAGCTTTCTAGATTCTACCTTGGCATAAGCTCCTGCCTGTGAAATTTCAGATGGATTGGTTTCATTTCGGTGAAGTTAAGGCTGTGCGTGTCAAAATCAGCCTTCGAATGGAAGGATTGTTTCAACCTTAGCTATGGAGAGACTATTGTCTCTCCATAATAAAGTAATAGATGTTTCAGAAATGCTTTGAAGTTGTTCCAGCCTTTTCACAGTGCTGTGAAATCTGATACTTCAGCTTTTAAGTAGTCTGTGAAAGTACAAACTGTAGTACTTGTGGAATTCATTCAGTGACTTCCAAACTCAAGTCTGGCCTGGGAATGGGA